TCCCCTCACCATCTTTGGTAACAAAAGACCAAACTCTTATCTGTGTGGTAAGGAGCTGCTTTATTTTTTTAAACTTTATTTTATTTTACTTTAAGTTCCAGGATACATGTGCAGAATGTACAGGTTTGTTGCATAGATAAATGGTGAATGTGTGCCATGGTGGTTTGCTGTACCTAAGTATTAAACCTACCATGCATTAGCTATTTGACCTGATGAAGGAGCTGCCTTTCATACCTCTTACTTTTGCATATGCTGTTCCCTCTATCTGTCAGTCTTTTTCCTTTTAAACCTGTTAAATTGTCACACAGATCTTTCAAAAAGTCCACTCAAATGTTATCTCATCTCTGAAGTCTTTTTCTCCCCCAGAGTTCCTGCCCCACCCCACTCAGTGATGCAATTTCCTCTCCCCACAGCATGACCACAGCTTTTTGTACATTTTGCTTTAAGTGTTTTTCGTATGTATAATCTGTTCATAGGTCTGTCTTCCTTATTGGACTATGAGCTGCCTAAAGGAAATATTGTGGTTTGTGGTCTATTCACCCCTCTAATTTTACTCCCCACTCCTCAGTCCTCTCTTTCCCTAACCCATTGCCTATCATAGTGCCTGGCACACCACAGGCAGCAAGAAAACGTGGGCCACCAAGTCATCAGGCTTAACATCACTGGTACACTGACAACATGTGCTCTGATGAGCTGCACCAAGAAAGACATCATCTATGTGGTATTCCTACCAAAAATGTTTAACCTGAATCTAATTAAAGAATCAGGCAAATTAAGAAAATTTAGAGAAAATAGTCTATAAAAATCTGATCAGAACTCCTAAATAGTATCAATGTCCTTAAAGACAAGAAAGTATATATTAAAGGACATGAAAGAAGCATGACTGGTGGCTCATGCCTGTAATCCCAGCACTTTGGGAGGCTGAGGCAGTTGGATCACAAGGTCAGGAGATCGAGACCATCCTGGCCAACATGGTGAAACCCTGTCTCTACTAAAAATACAAAAATTAGCTGGATGTGGTAGCACATGCCTGTAATCCCAGCTACTCAGGAGGCTGAGGCAGGAGAACTGCTTGAACCAGGGAGTCGGAGGTTGCAATGAATCACAGCACTCCAGCCTGGTGATAGAGCGAGACTCCCTCTCAAAAAAAAAAAAAAAAAGCAGCAGCAGCAGCATGACTGGCTGGGCATGGTGGCTCATGCCTGTAATCTCAGCATTTTGGGAGGCCAAGGCAGGAGGATGGCTTGAGCCCAGGAATTCAAAATCAGCCTGGGCAACATGGTGAAACCCTTGTCTCTCAAAATATTTTTAAAAATTAACCGAACATGATGATGTGCGCCTGTGGTTCCACTACTCAGGAGGTTTGTTTGAGCCCAGGATGTTGAGGTGATCACACCATTGCACTCTAGCCTGGGTGACAGAGTGAGATCTTGTCTAAAAAAAAAAAAAAAAAAAAGAAAGACATGATAGCTAAATTCAATGTGGGTACTTAATTGGATCTCAGATTTTAAAAAATAGCTATAAAGGACATTATTGGCACAATCAGAGGAATTTGATTATGGACTATATTTTGTGTCACTGTTAAATTTCCTTAGTATGGTATGCATTTTTTGGTTATATACAATGTCCTTGTTATTAGTAGATACGTCCTGACACTTTTAAGGGTGACATGATATCACATTTGCAACTTACTCTCAAGTGGTTCAGAAAAAAATGTATATACTGACCACACCCTGCCCCCACACACAGATAAAGTAAATGTGGTAAAATGTTAATATTTGAATCTAGATGAAGGGTATGTGATGTATTCTTGCAAATTTCCATAGGGTTGGAATTTGGCAAATTAAGAGTGGGAAACAAAAGCATGGATTTTGGCATTAGACCTGATGGGTTTAAACTTAATTGTAAATCTTTGTCACCTGCTTTATTTTTCTTTGAGCTGTGGGGCTTTGGGCAAATCATTTATCTCTCTTGCCAAGGGTTTTCCTGACTATAAACAGGGTTAATAACTGTACCTAACCCCACAGGGTTATAAGGATGAAAAAGAATGATGCATGTAAGGGGCTGAGCCAATGTCTGGCACATAGTGAGTGTGCAGTTAATGTTAACTATTATTATGACCATATATATTGTCAATATATGTTTACATAAAGGGACATGCATGGGAGAGTTGGAATATCCCACCTTAAAGGAGCTGGTGTACTTGTGGAAAACCACAAAATACCTCATTCTCCTTATTTGAAAGACTTGAGGCATTTGGAATTGCCATTAAATCCCATTCCAGGGGCAAGGGTGGTGTTAAAGAAATCCACTGGGGATAAGGTGGAGGGTAGGCTAGGGAGGAAGGGCCAACCAAGGTCTGAGGAAACAGGGAGGCACTACGGCAGGCAGTAAGATAAACTCTGGGGGACTCAGGAGAGGGTATGTAGTGACTATTGTCCCCTCTCCCCCTCCAGAGTGGATAAGTCACTGGTTAGTTTAATTGCTCTGCCCACCCATGCCTCCTTCTCAGAGAGCTTTTGTTTTCAGCCGTGTCATACAAATCTAGGATGGACATCAGGTGCTTGCAAGCCTTGAACCCCTGTGTGCTTAATGCTCATGGAGAGGAGAGTTCCTGAGGAGGAAATCAAACTAAGAGCCAGCTTTGTAGTTGCATTGAGAAGTTTAATGGAAAGCTGATTTTTCATGTTTTTCAGTAAGCTCCTGTGAGGGGTGGAGATGGAAGCTTAGGAGCGCAGTCTTCTTTCCCTCCTTGCTTCTAGAGGCACGCTGACTTCCTTCCTGGTCACAGAGCCATGGCGAAGCTAAGGGTCTTCAGAGCTCAGAACCTAGAGACTTCCTTTCAACAAAGCAGTGCCTCAGAAGCTCTTCTAGGCTCTAGATGGGGGAGGTTTTTTTTTTTTTTTTTTTTTTTTTGTGATGGAGTTTTGCTGTGTCACCAGGCTAAAGTGTAGTGGTGCAATCTCAGCTCACTGCAGCCTCAACCTCCTGGGTTCAAACGATTCTCCTGCCTTAGCCTCTCAAGTAGCTGAGATTACAGGCACACATTACCACGTCCAGCTAATTTTTGTATTTTTAGTAGAGATGGCATTTCACCATGTTGGCCAGGCTGGTCTCGAACTCCTGACCTCAAGTGATCCACCCACCTTAGCCTCCTGAAGTGCCGGGATTACTGGCATGAGCCACTGTGCCCAGACTGGGGAAGGCTTTTATAACTGCTGCTGTGTGGTAGAATCTGGGCACTCCAAGGAGGGTGTAGGGTAGAATAATAGCAAGGGGAAGCCTCCCAAGCTAGGAAAAGAGCAAGCAGCAAGCAGTTCAGATTCAAGGGCTCTCCATCCTAGCTCATCTCCAAAGAGTTGATGTATTCCCGAACCCATTTCTTCTCTGGGTTGGCACACACCTGGCGGTTCTTTCGGGTGACAAAGCTGTGGGAGAGAAGAGGGAGGATGAGATCTTGCCAGTATTGGGACAGCCAGTTTGGGGGATGAAGTGGGTTAAGGTATAAAGGGAGAGGACAATGGTACTGGGGTAGGGCATATTTGGAGCTCCATAAGATTTTATTTGTGGCTTTTAAGGAGAGGACATTTTCTCTTCTGCTGGATCAAAGGGCTCCAAGCCAGAAACAAATTTGTGTGCATTTTACCCACCTTTACACGAATACATGCAGCCTGAAAAGCTAAGAGGATATGAAGCCTTGAAACCCAGGATTGAGCCTGCCAACCACTAGCCTTTCCTCAGCAGTTCCTCTGTTCCAGGCCCTATGCTGGATGCTTAAGATGCAGAGAGAATAAGGTGTCCCTCAAGAACTGAATCATGGCTGAATAAGTGGGAGATGATAAGTTCTTAAAAGAATATCTGGGCTGGGTGCGGTGGCTGATGCTTGTAATCCTAGCACTTTGGGAGGCCGAGGTGAGCAGATCATGAGGTCAGAAGTTCCAGACCAGTCTGGCCAACATGGTGAAACCCCATCTTTATTAAAAACACAAAAATTAGCTGGGCATGGTGGCAGGTGCCTGTACTCCCAGCTACTTGGGAAGCTGAGGCAGGAGAATCGCTTGAACCTGGGAGGCGGAGGATGCAGTGAGCTGAGATCGCACCACTACAATCCAGTCTGGGCAACAAGAGCAAAAAAAAAAAAAAAAAAGAACATCCGATTCGGCTTTAGACAACACACCTGGCACACTGAACAAATAAATATATGAATATATCTCCGCACGGGTAGGTGAATGAAAAAAGGGCATGACCTTGAGTCTTAATTTCACCATTTATTACTTTGATCATTTTGGGCAAATCACGTAACACTTTTGAGTCCATTTACTAAGCTCTGAAATGTAGATAGAAATAATTCTTTGCACAATTATTGTGAAGCTCAAAGGATAATATGTATGAATACAGTTTGAAAAATACCATTCATGTGTTGTTACTAGAATGCTCTAAAACTTCTGCTCTAGGGTGGATGAGAGCAATATGAGACTTTGATTCTGTGCCTAACAGCATTAAATTTTTTTTATCGTGGTAAAATATTCATAACATAAAATTTACTATCTTAACCATTTTGGGATGTATCCTGCACATTCTTGAGCCTAAATGTTTTCAGACAAAGTGAAGGCTTAGATTGTCTGATGAGAACGAGGATTTCTTGTTTCTCTTTGGGTTTCCCTTTTCTGAGCTTCACTCAGAGCCCCTTGACCATCTCTTTTTCTCTCATGTGCAGAGATGAGAAAGGGAAAGGAAGAGGTATTCTGGGCTCTCATGTCTCCTAGTGTTTGCGTTCTTATTTAGGGTGGTGTGAGAGTTTCAGACACAGACCCTGCCTTGTTCAGCCAGGAGTCATACAGGAGATCCTGCCAGACTTGCTATCCTCTCTCTTTGGCATCCTTGACCTGTTGGCTAGGAAGTCAAAAGGCCAGGAAACCAATAACTAAGGCGAGGGTAGCCCAGGCCTCCATTTCCTGTCCCCAGGCCCACCCCCGCAGATTGTGATGTCAAAGAACAGCCCTCCTTGCCAAGTCTTCCCTCCTTGCCCCCATTTTTGGCACACTCTGCTTGCCTGACTTCCTCCTTCTGCCTGCCCCTTAAGAGAGGATGTTCTCAAAGTTGCTGCCCTTTTCTTTGTGATTTTTCCTAGGTCTCTGGCCCTGGGCCTGGCACACAGTTGATACTTAATGGATGTTTATGGAATGAGTAAGTAAATGAATGGATTGCATTCATTTGTTAAATTTCAACTGTTACTTTTGTGTATGCAATAATGCATTTAGATAATGATGACAATAATAAGTTAACACTTATGCACCTACTGTGTGCCAGGGCATATTCTAAGCATTTTTTTCTTACTGTGACCTAGTGGGGGATACTTCTATTACCCTATTTGTAAATGAGGAAATTGGGGTGCTGAGGGGTTGACTGAAGGGCCTACACTCACCAAGTGTCATAGCTGGAGTCCTAACAAAGCAAATTAGCCAGTACTCACCAAGGCAGGCTGGATTGCCTTTTTAAAATTGGAATATGCCTTTTTTCCTAAAAAAGAATGTCATATTTTTAGCCCTAACACCCTTTCCTCAGCTACCAACCCTTCATTTCACCATTATCACTGGACATACCCATAGCGTTACCTTGCTGGCACCTTAGCTCTTTCCTCTTTAAACAGTTCTTTTGCAGGCTTAAGGTGGTTCTACACTTCTCCAGCCAGAGGTTGAAACCTCAGTGTCATCCTCAACCCCCATCTCTCTCCCGTGCTCTTGACCTCAAATCACCTACTAGGGCTTGCAGATTTCACCTTTGAAGGTTGCAAAGGTGTCTGTCTTTGAAACGGTCTCTCCTTTCCTTCAGGCACTGGTCGGCCTCCGATACTACTCACATGGGTAATGACAGGAGCCTCTAAACTGGACTCCAGTTTTCTCAGCTTTCCCTGTTCTAGCTCATTTTACACTTGACAGCTCTGGCACTTTTGCTGCATTTTCTTGACACTCAAAGCTCTCTGTGCTTTTCTACAAGGAGACTCTACATAAACTAATGTAGAATCCTAGGGGACAGTCCCTCTTCCTGATATATCCCATCCCTCAGGCTTTTCTCTGCAGGGCCAGATCTCTCCTCAGAAAGCACAATTTGCAGCAAACCTGTAAATCCCTGAAGCTGAATGTGTTTCTCTTTCCCTTGTCACGTTTTTTTTTTTTGCTGGGTACTGTAGTCATTGCCGTGTCTGTCTTGGCTGTCTTATTAGACTATAAGCCCCATAAGATTGGACTGGCATGATGGCTTTAGTAATCTCTGTCTGCTCATAATATGTGGTAAGGGAAGGATTTTCTTCTTTTGAAAAATATTTGTTTTCAGAAATAAAATTAGTATTATTAAAATTAGTTATTAAATATTACCACTATACTTCAAAATTAGTTATTAAATATTACCACTATACTTCAAAAGATTCATCAGACCCAAAGTCTGTCTTTGAATACCTCTAATTTTGGCAGTGTCACAAAAATTTTTGGATTAAAAAACTTCACCCTGGCTGGATGCAGTAGCTCATGCCTGTAATCCCAGCACTTTGGGAGGTCGAGCTGGACTGATCACTGGAGCTCAGGAGTTCAAGATCACCTGGCCAACATGATGAAACCCCATCTCCACAAAAAATACAAAAATTGGCTGGGCATGGTGGCTCATGCCTGTAATCCCAGCACTTTGGGAGACTGAGGCAGGCGAATCATGAGGTCAAGAGATTAAGACCATCCTGGCCAACGTGGTGAAACCCTGTCTCTATTAAAAATACAAAAATTAGCTGGGCATGGTGGCATACACCTGTAGTCCCAGCTACTCAGGAGGCTGTGGCAGAAGAATCACTTGAACCTGGGAGGCAGAGGTTGCAGTGAGCCGAGATCGTGCCACTGCACTCTAGCCTGGACAACAGAGTAAGACTGTGTCTCAAAACAAAAACAAAAACAAATCAACAAAAAACTTCACTCTTATATAGGAAACTTCAGGTTGCACTATTTTCATTTCTACTATAAATTTTTTAAGCAATTGTCACTAACGGCTTTGCTATAGCAGAAAGAGGAGGCTCTAGAGATTCATGCCTTATTTACTGTGCAGCCTTGGCTAAGTCAGTAAACCTCTGTGAATCTTAGTTTCATTACCTGAAACATTGAGAGAATTATGCATACTTGTCAGAGCTAAGTGTAATTTAGAGATCATGCACATAGACATTTGACATACCGTAGGCACTTCCTATATAGTAGGGTTTATTGTATTTTTCCAAATGTACTAGCTCAGATATTTAAAGGTGAATCTCATTTCCTTATTTCTTCTCTAATGGATTTTTTTTTTGTTTTTTATTGACCGCAATTATAGATCTCTAACCTCTGACCTCTCCTCCCTAGTTCCTCTGAGGTTTAGGTGGATTTGATTGGGTGTGAAATATAGGGGACTGTAAGGTTCTTCACTGAAGGAGATGACTGACTTGATCTTCTCCATGTAGGATTTCCAGACCACGTTCAAGTAAAGGCCACACTAATAAAGATTGGAGTCCTAGGAATGTAGTCCATCAGAGTGGGCAGTATTCTACAAGGACAGCTTGTCTAGTCTTTTTACATTATAGCAGGGGACTCTGAGGCTAGAGCTGGAGGAGCTCTGGCTGCTTGCAGCTAGAGGATGGGTGGGAGTGGGTAGGGCATCCTCGGAGGACTCCTAAAGGAAATGGCTCTGGGAGGGTTCCATGGGGCTGAGACTCACACGACTGCTGGGATGGAGCACTTGCCACTGGTGTAGAAATACTCCTTGATGTGGGCACGGGGCAGCAGGCGGACAATGTAGGCAAAGCAGCAGGGTGTGGTGTCCGAGGCATCTGGGAGAGGAAAGGAAGAAGGGAAAGCTTTTTATTCATTGCTCCTGCACACTGGACATTGTGCTGGACACTTTGTATGATTTATTAAGAAAGAACTGTTGTCTTCCTTGACAGAAACTGAGGCTCAGAGAGGTAAAGTCACTTGGCCATGAATACACAGTGGCAGAGTGGGGATTCCAATCCCTCATATAATCCTTGAGCCAAGCTTGTATCCATCCCCCTATACCATAACCCTCTGCCCTTGGCTCTCAGGCCCTCTGCCTGGTTTGTCCTGGGTCCTCTAGTCTCATTTTTGCCATTCCAGGATCCTCAGTGGATTCAGAACTTGGTTTCTTTGAGACCTAGGTGGGTTGTGGGGAGGCTTCCAAAGCTCAGGCTCCATGACTCAGCCAGGATCCTAAGGGGCCTTAAGATGTGTATTAAGCTGTAGTGAGAAGAGCTGTAGTGAGAAGAGCTCTCAACAGAGAACTTCTTGTTGGTCAGTTAATTCAAGATGATGCTGGGAAGCATCAGTTACCACTTACCAACAGAGGAACAGTTTTTATCTTCCCAGCCAGATGGAACCAGGTTTGAATACCAGTTTCCCCAGTTCCTAGCTGTGTGCTCATGGACATGTTACTTAACCTCTCTGTTTTCACTTCTGTAGGTCAAGGACAGCTACTCAAAGAATAGTTGTGAGTATTAAATAAGATGTACAAATATCAGCACATTGCCTGATCCATAGTAGCCATTTAATTATCTTTTATTATTCTCTCTGTTTTTATTTATTTTTTAAATGTTGGCTGGGCACAGTGGCTCATACCTGTAATCCCAGCACTTTGGGAGGCCAAGGCAAGCGGATCACCTGAGGTCGGGAGTTGGAGACCAGCCTGGCCAACATGGAGAAAGCCCTCTCTACTAAAAATACAAAAATTAGCCCAGCATGGTGGTGCATGCCTGTAATCCCAGCTACTTGGGAGCCTGAGGCAGAAGAATCTCTTGAACCCGGGAGGCAGAGGTTGCAGTGAAACAAGATCGCACCATTGCACTCCAGCCTGGGCAACAAGAGTGAAACTCTGTCTCAGAAAAAAAAAAAAAAAAAAAGTATTCACTACTAATAAAGCCATGTATCCTCTCATAAACCCATTTTTTTTTTTACATTTGTGAAATAAGAGAGAATATGACTGTCTCAGGAATTTATAGTTTAGTTACATTTCTAAGAAACCCTGCTGCTGACAGGCATGAGTCAGTCGTGTTTCAAGATCAGTGTGAGCCACTCATGACTACTAATCTTCCCAACATCAGTTCACACTCAGTGAACACCTGTGGGCCTTGGGGAAGTAGACCTTGACGACAGGAAAGTTGATCAGGAGATCCCTGCCATGAAGCAGTTTAGAGATCTCTCAAGGACAACAGGACACCTGGGTAAGACAATCCAGAAGAATGTAAATAATGAGGTTCAGACAGTATTCATATTACAGTTGAAAAGAGGACAAGGTCTGGGGCAGTCATTGGGGTGGGGTGGGCAGAGGGTCCGACTCCAGGGGCTGTGGTGGTCAAGAGCAGGACTTACATGGGGTGGCAGATGCAGGAGCGCAGAGGGTGGTAGCAACCAGGATGACAGCGAAGGCAGCCACGGAGACCTTCATGGTACCTGTGGGAGAGGCTGTGGGAGGTCCACGTGCTGTCTCAGGATCCTCTACAGGGATCCTCTGAAGCTCAGGCTGGCCCTTTATAGGAGTTGGGGCCAATTGAAGGGCACCCCCTAAGGGGAATTTCCAAAATAGCAACCAAGCATTGGCTGGTATCATAAGTGATATTACACAAAACTGAAAAGAAAACTGAAATAGCCTCCGGAAATTTGAGTCTCTGTCTCCCCATCACTGCTCTCCCATCTAGAGTGAACTTATCAGTTACCGCTTTGGCCAAGCACCAGTAGTGGGAAACAGTTTCTCTGCTGACATCCTCAGTTTTACATTCCAAGGAAGGGGTCCTCCTCAGAGAGCAGGAAGCTGCTTCCTTGGGGACAAGAAGGAGGGGCAGTTAGGATAGAATCATAAGTCACTGAGTCTTTGATTGCCTTCAGAGTTCTTGCTTATTCATTACAGATCTTATCTCCTTTCCCTCATCCATAGAAGGATGTTATTTATAAGGTATTTTATTGAGGAGAGTCCTCTGGACATACAGTCCCCAAAGGAGGTGAGTACACTCACTATAAATTGTGGCATGGCTGTTGATCTGAGCTGGGCGTTGGGGGACCTGTTCACTAGATGTGAGTTGGAGTCCTCTTGTGGGAGTTTCTTGTTTTCATCCTGGCCATAGGGTCTTTCCCGTTTATTTGCTAAGCAATCTTTGGGAAAATTGCTTAATGTCTTTGAGTTCTATTTCCTTGTTTATAAAGTGGAATAACTGATTATAGGCTTGTTGAGAAGCAGAGAGAGAGAGAGAAAGATCTCTTCCAGCATACTGTACCATTATTGGCTAGCATTTACTGAGGGCCTGTCTGTGGCAGCCACTATTCTACCGGCTTAGTGCGTGTCAACTCAGTTACTATTATTATCCTCATTTTATGAACGAGGAAACTCAATAAATACTGGGATCTCATCTCAGTAAGGCCTTCTTGGGCACAAAAGTTACAGAATATCAAAGCTTCAAAGGACTTTAGGGATGATTTTTTCCATGTTTTTCAGTTGCTCAGGAGGAAACCAAGGCCCAGTGAACAGGAGTAACTTGCTAAGAACACACAGCAAATGAATGACAGAGTTGGGACCAGAGCCAAGTTGCCCTGGCTCCCACTTCAGTGGTCTGTCCATTAAGTACTGCCCAACATTAAAGGTTGGGAGTGGTTGGGAGTATCGTCGAAACTGAACCCATGTGGAACTTGTGGTTTAGAGCTGGAGTCCTTACTCCATTCCAAAGAATTGGATACAGTAAATATTCATCAATTCCTATTTCAGTAGTTGAGAATTAGTGACAGTTTTGCCTGGGCTAGGCTGAAATTCGCTTTAGAATTTTTTAAGAGAAAAATGTTTATTGACAGTGACAAAAGCAAAATAAAGAAAATGTAACCCTCTGCTGAGATCATTTTCTGTTAGCTACTCTCACACTTGTAACATGGTGGTTGGGAGTGACTGAACCACCCAGAATGGGAAGACTGTCACATTTTTTCCTCATGATGACTTTGAGGCAGTGTTTATTATTCTCATTTGACCCATGAGGAAACCAAGCCTCAGAACAGATAATTAACATCTTCAAAATCACGCAGCTGATAAGTGAGATTTGAAGGCAGGTGTTTCAGATGACTATGCTCAAGCTCTGTCCAGTGAATCACATCAATAAGGCAGTTAACAGTTATTGAGCCCTTTCTGGGTTACAGATGCTGTTCCAAACTCTTTTTTTTTTTTTTTTTTTTTTTTTCTTTTTTTTTGAGACAGAGTCTTGCTCTGTTGTTCAGGCTGAAGTGCAGTGGCGAGATCTTGGCTCACTGTAACCTCCCCCTCCCAGGTTCAAGCAATTCTCCTATCTCCCGAGTAGCTGGCGTTACAGGTGTCCACCACCATACCTGGCTAATTTTTGTGTTTTTAGTAGAGACGGGGTTTCCCATGCTGGCCAGACTGGTCTCGAACTCCTGACCTCAGGTCATCTGCCCGCCACGGCCTCCCAAAGTGATGGGATTACAGCCACCTCGCCTAGCCTTGTTCCAAGTCCTTTACAACAATCCTCTCATACCCTTCTTACAGCTCAATCAATTAAAAATGGAAGCATAATTTTGGAAAGTATGGCCATCTCATTTAAAGAAACAAATTACAAGCTCTTTAGAAATGTTCATCCATCCACATAAAAATGTTTTATCAATTGTTTCCTTTACAAAGCCTCTTTAGGTCTAAGGTAAGTTACCAAACATGTGAGAGGCTCTGGAAAAGGCAGTGGGTTAAGAGCAGGGACTTGGCAATTTCTCCTGTTTATTGGCCAGGTGGCCTCAGGCAAGTTATTAATAATCTCTCTGGTCTCAGTTTTCTTACCTATAAATCAGTGATAATAATAGTCCCTCACACTGCTGTCCAGATAATTAAGTCCCTATAAATGTCCTTATGCTTGCAAAGCTCTCAGTGCAACTCCTGACACGTTAAACTACTTAATAACATTGGCTATTGCTGGGTGCTGTGGCTTGTGCCTGTAATCCCAGCACTTTGGGAGGCCGAGGTGGGTGGATCACGAAGTCAGGAGTTCAGAAACAGCCTGGCCCACATGGTAAAACCCCACCTGTACTAAAAATACAAAAATTAGCTGGGCATGGTGGTAGTTGCCTGTAATCCCAGCTGCTCGGGAGGCTGAGACAGGAGAATCTCTTGAACCTGGGAGGTGGAGGTTGCAGTGAGATGAGATTGTGCCACTGCAATCTAGCCTGAATGACAGAGCAAGACTCCGTCTCAACAACAACAACAAAATAGTATTGTCTATTATTATCATGTTATCATTAAGAGTAAGAATATGTCAATGCCTTTTAGGATATTCTGTAATTTATGCTTTTCAGCAATCTAAACTAGACCCCTAGTTAACATGTATTTATGGAATTTGTTACAAAAAAAATCTTTATTTATTTTTACGAAAAGTATTTTTTAAAACAGATGGAGGCCGGCCGTGGTGGCTTATACCTGTAATCCCAGCACTTCGGTAGGCCAAAGTGGGCGTATCACCTAAGGTAGGGAGTTTGAGACCAGCCTGACCAACATGGAGAAAACTCATCTCTACTAAAAATACAAAATTTGCCGGGCGCAGTGACTCAAGCCTGTAATCCCAGCACTTTGGGAGGCCGAGGCGGGTGGATCACGAGGTCAAGAGATAGAGACCATCCTGGTCAACACGGTGAAACCCCGTCTCTACTAAAAATACAAAAACATTAGCTGGGCATGGTGGCGTGTGCCTGTAATCCTAGCTACCCAGGAGGTTGAGGCAGGAGAACTGCCTGAATCCAGGAGGCAGAGGTTGCGGTGAGCCGAGATCGATCGCGCCATTGCACTCCAGCCTGGGTAACAAGAGTGAAACTCCGTCTCAAAAAAAAAAAAACAAAAAACAAAATTAGCTGGACGTTGTGGCACATGCCTGTAATCCCAACTACTTGGGAGGCTGAGGCAGGAAAGTCGCTTTAACCCAGGAGGCCGAGGTTGCCATGAGCCGAGATCGCGCTATTGCACTCCAGCCTGGGCAACAAGGGTGAAACTCCATCTCAAAAAACAAAAAACAAAACAAAAAAAAGATGGGTAGTTGAGGCTTAGAGAGGTTAAGTGATTAGCTTATGGTCACGGCCTACAGTAGTAGAGTTCTGGGTTCATAGACTTTCTACCACACTTCATTGTTTTTAGAGAAAATCATAAATGATTGCCAAAGCTCAGTTTTCTCCTGTGAGCTTGATTTCTGTTTTTTTTTTTCCCCTTGATTTCAGTTTCCCTCTTTAAGGAAGAAAGGAAAGTATTTTCCTGGACACCAGATATGCTGAGTTGGGACACGAGCTAAAGAAAGAGGTGAGGAAACCTGCAGAGAACCCCAACATGCTCCCCATCTTTGAATCCCAGCGAACCTTTCCACTGTGTGTGTCTGTGTATGTATATCTGTGTATAAGTGGTGATGGGATAGGGGGTTGGTGGTAGGATGGTGGGATTGCTGAGCGGGAATAGGCAGTGGGAATGTCAGGAGTATTTTTCTTTTTGTTGTCTTTTGAGACAGGAACTCACTCTGTTGCCCAGGCTGGAATGCAGTTGCTGATCACCTGCAGCCTCCTGAGCAGCTAGGACTACAGGTGTGCACCAACATGCTGGACTAATTTTTAATTTTTTCTATAGATAGGATCTTGCTATGTTGCCCGGGCTGGTCTCAAACTCCTGGCTTCAAGCGAGCCTCCCCTTGGCCTCCCAAAGTGCTGGGATTGTAGGCATGAACTACTGTACCCAGCATGGGAGTATTTTTCTTCCCTTTCGGAGATTCCAATGAATTGTGAGGAGCATAGGAGGGAGGAGAATTGAATTTTTACTTCATTTCTGCCATTCATTTTCTCTTGTGCAAAATCAAGGTTTGGGCTTGATGGGCTATCTTCAAGTTTTTCTCTGGTTCTAATGTACTGATTCCATAAGCAAATTAGAGAGCTCATGTAAACAGTATGATGCCTGGTACAGGGTGGGTGTTCAATGAATGGCAACTATCATTATTATTCACCCAGCTCTTTATGTTCCTGAAAACCTGGAACTCCTTCCTGTCTGACCCACTGCAGTGGTGGAGAGGATCAGGGGAGGTAATGCTCATGGATGTACTTAGGAGACATAAGGTGGGCACAACCATCATGGAGCCATCTCTGCTCTCCCCATCCCTTCAGTGTGCATAGTCCATGCCACTCAGTCATTCCTCACCCACTCTACAGATTTTATTGAGAATTGCTGTGAGCTGGGCACTGTTCTAGGCACTGCAGACACCATGGCTAGTGAAACAGGCAAAGACCTGCCATCTACAGCTTGTTTGAGTATGGAGCAGAGGGTCAGGGAGAAGGGAGATAAACAATAAACAAGTAAATTTACACTCTTTTATTCCGAATCGTCTTTTCACTGGTCTTAACTCCATGAGCGCAGTGACAGTGTCCTATGTGTTTTCTATTTGTTTATTTGTGTTCTCCACCTGCTTTTTTTTTTTTTTTTTTTTTTAAAGAGAAAGAGAAAGGGGGAGAGAGAAAGGGGGAGTCTTGCTCTATTGCCCAAGCTGGAATGCAATCTAAAAATAGGTATTAAAAACCTCTTTTATGCTGATAATTGTGCTTAACAGCAGAGACAGGAAGGAACAAGGGAAGAAAATAACAAACAAACAGCCAACCAATATTTCATTTAAGTCTGTAAAATGCTATGCAAATGCTGAAGAGTGATTTACTTCCAATTATGTGGTCACTTTCAAAATAGGTGTAATATGATACTGAGAAAAATGTATGTTCTGTGGACCTGGGGTGAAGAATTCTATAAATACTCACTGAGTTTACTTGTTCCAGGTCTGAGTTCAAATCATAGATGTCCCTGTTAATTTTCTATCTCGTTGATCCGTCGAATATTAACAATGTGGTGTCAAAGTCTCCTGCTATTATTGTGCGGGAGTCCAAGTCTCTTCATAAGTCATTAAGAACTTGTTTTATGTATCTGGGTGTTCCTATATTGGGTGCATATACATTTATGATCATTGACTCCTGTTGTTGCATTGATCCTTTTACCGTTATGTAATGTCCTTCTTTGTTTCTTTTAGTCTTTGTTACTATTAAAGTCTATTTTGTCAGAGACGAAAGTTACAACTTCTGTTTTCTTTTTTTTTTTTTTTTTTTTTCTCTCCTTTTGATTGGTAAGTTTTCCACCAACCCTTTGTTTTGAGTCTTTGTGTGTCCTTGCTTATGAGATGGATCTGGATACAGTGAACCGATGGGTTTTGACTTTTTATTCAATTTGCCTGTCTGTGTCTTTGATTGGGGCATTTAATCCATTTAAATTTAGGATTAATATTGATATTTGTGAGTTTAATATTGTCATTTAATGCTAGCTGGCTATTTTGCCCATTCGTTGATATAGATTCTTCATTATGGAGATACTCTTTACCTTTTGGTAAGTTTTTGGGATGACTGATACTGGTTGTTTCTTTCTGTATATAGAGCTTCTTTCAGAAGCTCTTGTAAAGCAGGCCTGGTGGTGATGAAATCTCTGAGTGCTTGCTTGTTGGCAAAAAATTTTATTTTTCCTTCATTTATGAAGCTTAATTTGGCTGGATATGAGATTCTGGGTTGAAAATTCTTTTCTTTGAGGATATTGAACCCCCACTCTCTTCTAGTTTCTAGGGTTTCAGCTGAGAGATCTGCTGTGAGTCTGATAGGCTTCCCTTTATGGGTAACCTGACCTTTCTCTCTAGTTGCCCTTAGAATTTTCTCCTTTATTTCAACCCTGGTGAATCTTAACGATTATGTGTCTTGGGTTTGCTCTACTTGAGGAATGTCTTTGTAGTGTTCTCTGTATTACCTGAAGTTGAGTATTTTCCTGCCTTACTAGGTTAGGAAAGTTTTCCTGAATAATATCCTGAAGAATATTTTCCAGCTTGGATTCATTCTCTTCATGACATTCAGGTACACCTATCAGACGTGAGTTAGGTTTTTTCACATAGTCCCGTATTTCTTGGAGACTCTGCTCATTCCTTTTTACTCTTTTTTCTCTAATCTTGTCTTCTTGTTTCATTTCATTAAGTTGGTCTTCGACCTCTGACATCCTTTCTTCTGCTTGATCGATTCGACTGTTAAAACCTGTGCATACTTCGCGGAGTTCTCGTATTGTATTCTTCAGTTCTATTAATTCACTTATATTCCTCTCTAGATTGTGTATTCTCGTTAGGATTTCATCAAAAACCTTTTTTCAAAGTTCTTAGTTTCTTCACATTGGGCTAGAACATGTTCTTTTAACTCACAGAAGTTTCTTATTATCCACCTTCTGAAGCCTAAATCTGTTAATGGAACGCATTCGTTCTCCATCAAGCCTTGTTCCCTTGCTGATTGAGGAACTGTGATCCCCTGTAGAGGGAGAGACATTCTGATTTTCGGTATTCTCAGCCTTTTTACGCTAGTTTCTTCCCATCATTGTAAATTTATCCACCTGTCATCTTTGTAATTACCGACTTTCAAATTAGGTCTCTGAGTGGACGTCCAACTTGTTGATTCCCAGTGCCAGAATCTGAGCAACCCACTGCGCTGGCCAAAACAGCGCATTAAGATTCGTGGTGCTTTTCTGCCTGGGAATCTCTGGTCTGGCTTCCTTCTTGAGTCCCTTTTTCAATCAACTGAATAGGCGACTCTGCCTTCCCGGAGCTCCAAATGTCGACCAAAAGGGGTCCCAGTCCTGTTTACTCTGCACCAAGAACTGCCACGCCCGGGCGCCGGCAAAACCGCCATGCCGGCCACACGAGTTGCGCTGGCGACCCTTGGGGCTCCTCCACTGGGAATCTCCTGGTCCGTGAGCAACAAAAATTCATCTGAAAATGTGGCGTCCTCTCATTCTCTGCACTTTCACTGGGAGCTACAATCCTGAGCTGCTAGTAATCAGCCATCTTGGATCTCTCTCTCCACCTGCTTTCCAATAAATGTCTTAGACATGCTGCTAAATCAATGATGATTAAGTCCTATTAACTTCTTATAGCATCTTGATTAAATGGTCTCTCTAAAGTCAGACTTCTAGGTTCAAAATCCAGATTTATTAATTTTTAATAAAAATTGTGTATTATTTACAACATGTTTTGATATACATACACATAGTGAAATGATTATTGCAGTTAAACACATTAATATATCTGTCCCCTCACACAGTTACTGCTGTTTTGTGTGTGTGGTGAGAACACCTGAAATCTCCTCTTAGAAAATTTCCAGTATTCAGTACAATATTATTAACTATACAGTAGTCCTCCCTTATCTGTGGTTTTGCTTACTGCGGTTTCAGTTACTCTTGATCAACCATGGTTAGAAAATATTACATGGAAAATTCCAGAAATTAACATTTACACTTTTATTACAGTATGCTGTTATAATTGTTCTATTTTGTTATTGTTGTTATTCTCTTACAGTGCTTAATTTATAAAGTTAATCATAGGTAGTATAGGAAAAAACACACAATCTAATAGTATATAACAGGTACTATCCATGGTTTCAGGCATCCATTGGGGGTCTTGGAACATATCCCTCTCCGATAAAGGGGAACTGCCGTAGTCCTCATGCTATACATTAGATTCTACATAATCGCAACTTGGTGTCCTTTGATCAGAATCTCCCAATTTCTCTTACAGCCCCACCACTTGTAGCCAAAGTTCTGCTCTTTGCTTCCATGTATTTGACCTTTTTAGATTCCACATGTAAGTGAGATCATGTAGTATTTTCCTTTCTGTGTTTGCCTTGCTATTACTATTGATGACTTTGAAAAAGTTGCTTACTTCTCTGGGCCTAAATTTCTTCATCTGCAAAGTACGATATTGGACCTAACCTGTTTGGGGCAATGGAGCCATTTAAGAGTCTGATGAGGGCTGGGTGTGGTGGCTCACGCCTGTAATCCCAGCACTTTGGGAGGCTAAGGTAGGTGGATCTCTTGAGCTCAGGAGTTCGAGACCAGCCTGGGCAACATGGTGAACCCCATCTCTACTAAAAATAAAAAAATCATTGGGCATGGTGATGCACCTGTAGTCCCAGCTACTTGGTGGGGAGACAGGTGGATTGCTTGAACCCAGGAGGCAAAGGTGGCAATGAGCCAAGATTGAGCCACATTACACTTCAGTCTGGGTGACAGAGTGAGACCCTGTCTCAAAAAAAAAAGGGGGCTGGGTGCTGTGGCTCACACCTATAATTCCAGCACTTTGGGAGGCCGAGGCAGGAGGATAACTTGAGGTCAGGAGTTCGAGACTAGCCTGCCCAACATGGTGAAACTCCATCTCTACTAAAAATACAAAAATAAAAAAAATTAGCTGGCCATGGTGGTGTATGCCTGTAGTCTCAGTTCCTTGGGAAGCTGAGGCAGGAGAATCACTTGAACTCAGGAGGCAGAGGTTGTAGTGAGCAAAGATTGCACCACTGTACTCCAGGCTATGCCACACAGCAAGACTTGGTCTCAAAAAAAAAAAAAGAATCAGATGAGGATATGAGGGTGATCTGCCTGAAATATCTGTCGCCCCGTTGATCACCAGGGTTGGTCTGTTACCAACCATAGTTTCTTGGGTTTTCAATGCAATAGAAATTGACATAAGGTCGAAATAGTTTTCTGAGACAAGACTTCATTGGAGCTTTTGCCTGGACATAAGGGAGGCAGCACAAGGAGAATTCTCTAACTGACTCTGTGCAGAGCTGGTAGGGCTTTTTTTTTTTTTATTAGGCAAAGCATGAGAATTGACATCAGGGGTAGGGTATGCAGGCTGGGCTGGACAAAGCATGTGAAGGGTAGGGTATGCAGGTTAGCATTATCTGGTCATAATGGCTATCTTAAGTAATGGACTACCTGGTAGTCTGGCTGGGGCAACAAGTCTGTAAATCAGTTGTTCAGCATTTCTTCCTGAGGCGGAATACTCCACAACCTTGGCTTGATACTTGGATTTCCTAAGGCCAGTTCCTGGAATTTGTTAACTAAAAAGCATGCTTAAACATGGTATCAGTGAGGTAGTGGTGTGGGTTTGTGATCAGTGGGAATGCGTGAAAGAAAGCTCTAGTGCAGGTGAGCTGCCACCAAGCCCCACTCCTAGTCTGTCTCAATTTGGCTGACCTAGCTGGCTAGACCTGTGTACCCTTCTCCCTTTACTGTTCCATGTGCGTCCCTCCTGAAGCTGTACACTTGGTTTAACCACCCAATGCGTTCTTCTTGCCCACTGCCCAGATAGAACAAGTTTATCAAGACACAGGAATTGTAATAGAGAAAGAGTTTGATACAAATAGAGCCAGCTAAACAGGAGACAGGGGTTTTATTACTCAAGTCAGCCTCCCTGAAAATTTGGAAGCTAGGGTTTTTGAAAGGTAGTTTGGTGGGCAGGGGGCTAGGGAAGACGGAATGCTGATTGGTTGGGTTGGGGATGAAATCACAGGGAGTTGAAGCTGTCCTCTTGCACTGAGTTGGTTCCTGGGTGGGGGCCAGAAGACCAGATGAGCCAGTTTACTGGTCTGGGTGGTGCCAGCTGATCCATCAGAATGCAGGGTCTGAAAAATACCTCAAACACCAATCTTAGGTTTTACAATAATAATATTATCTATAGGAACAATTGGAGAGGTTAGTGGTCTCAAAGCCTCTGGCTGCACGACTTCTGAGCCGTAATTTCTAATCTTGTGGCCAATCTAGTGGGTTTGTGTCAGGGAGGGGCTGTTATCATCTTTGTTTCAAAGTTAAACTATAAACTAAATTTCTCCCAAATTGAGTGCTCCCTATGCCCAAGAATGAACAAAGGCAGCTGGCAGGTTAGAAGCAAGATGGAATCGGTTAGGTCAGATTTCTTTCACTGTCATAATTTTCTCACTGCTATAACATTTGCAAAGGCAGTTTCAGAAGAGGACAGCCTTCCTCAAGATAGGAGGACTGTTCTTTGGTCAAGGGTATACAAGTAGCTGCGCTCCCCTGCTAGAACCTCCAAACAAGCTCTCGAGGTCCATTTGGAAGAGGACAGCCTTCCCTAGTAGAGGACTGTTCTTGGTCAAGGGTATACAAGTAGCTGCGCTCCCCTGCTAGAACCTCCAAACAAGCTCTCAAAGTCCATTTGTAGGCGAATGTAGTCAAGCTTCCAAGACTCCAGACACATCCAAATGAGGTGTTGCGTGTGGCAGTCTGCCTTTCTTAAAGAAAAAAAAAAGAATCTCATGAAAGCTGTGAATAATTCCACCAATCTGCAGAGACCTACCCAGACATACACATGTAATTTTGCATGTAAGGGGTTCATAGACCCTGCATGCTCATTGATGGGCCTCTTGATCCACAGGGCTGGTTCCTGTCAGCTTTCATGCCTCTGGCACCCCTTTTCCCAGCATAATCCTCGCTAAAGCCAGGCCTATATCCCCTCAAGCCTAGTGTAGCCCCTCTCCTCCCCTCCTGGCACAGTCTTCTTTTTTTCCCATCATTCACTCTTTCCAAAGCTAAGCTGGCTGCTAGCCAAGTTTCATAATATGGCATTAGGAAACCAAATGCTGGTAGAGAAAATGAAACCTAATTCTATCTGGATTCCAAAGCTGTCATCAGGCATGAAGTTCCCCTCATGACTTCAGACTTTTGGGGGCAGCTCTGAGTGTTCAGCTGCTCTTAAAAACATGCCTAAAGCAGTGAAACTCCCCCCATCCTCTAGAAATCTGGGCTCCCAACAGAAGCCTAAGGCAAAGTAATTTCCTCATGGACCTTAATTTTCCCAATCTGCAAATTGGAGACTTACTTGTTGTTCCTGTCCTTCTCTGCCCCTTTTTTGCAAGTCTACATATTTCCCACCTGAGACTGGAAGCTATCTCACTCTTTGTTTCTGAAGGACCCTGCATGGGGTAGGTGCTCCATTGGTGCCAGAGGCAATAGGGTGCAAGCTGAGACCTCATAGCAGGCTCAGGAGACTTCTCAGGAGGAGACAGAATTTGAACCCCATCCGAGACGCTACAACATCCTGCCCTTGATTTTTGGTTCAGCTCTGGTTTGTTCTTTCCATGTTATTCTGTTCTGCTCCTCCCTTCTCCTCCCTTCTCCTCCCCTCCCCTCCCTCCCTTCCCCTCCCCTTCCTTCCCCTCCCCTCCCCCATCCCCTCCCCTCCCGTCCCCTCCCCTCCCC